CCATGATAGTGTGCAATTTGATATAGGCTCTACATATACATTCATTCCTATTAAACATATTTTCACATTAGTCATGTTATGAAGAAGAATTACAACCAATAGGAGAAACCACAAGACAGAAGGAACAAAATAAAACAGAAGAAAAAAAACAGCAGATAGTATGCTTCGATCTGCATTCAAACTCCATAGTTCTTTCTTTGGATGTGGATAGTATTTTCCATCGTGAGACTTTTGGGGATGTCTTAGATCCTTGCATTGCTAAGAAGGACTAAGTCTATCAAAGTCAGTCATTGCACAACGTCCCACTCCCTTTCTTTAGGCTATCAATGTTTTCCTCTTCTCTGTTTCTCTGAGGGAAGGTCTTACCTGGTACCTCCGTCACTCAAATCTAACTCACTCACATGTCATGGCATCACCTCCCTGATGTCTTGGTCCTCTTAGAGAATGAAGGCCAAACAGCAAGCAGCTTGCTTGGTGGCAATCATTTACACCTCGGTATAAAGAATTGAAGGCCTTCCTCTAGGTCTTTGAAGATTCAGTGGGGGTACGTACCCCTATAAGAATGAGTGAAGATGGTCCTAATTTTCAGATCTACATCAAGGGCACCTATCCCCTTTCCAGTCCTCCAGGTGTTGCCACAACTTGCTTGCAAAGACCACCTCCTGAATGACTGGTGACTTGCGAGGGAGTACTTATCCCTATGAAATTACAGACAAAAGAAGTATTCATTGGCCAACAGGGGGTTGGATCTGTGATTTCACTGGTATAGGGAATACCTGGAAGAGGAAACTCTCTCTAGCAATGAAGGTCAGATCTTTGCAATTTATCATCTCAGAGAGTTACCAACAGGTTAAAAGACTTGTTCAGAGTCACACAGCCAGTGTGTGTCAGAGGAGAGATTTGAATCTGTATCTTCTTGACTCCAAAGCCGGTTCTCTGTCCACTATGGTCCACTCTCCTGTCTCTTGCTTGTTGACCAATAAAAAAATATATGTTAATAATAGTGAGTTCAGGACACCAATCAATCAGTCAATCAATAAGTATTTATTAAGCACTGACTACATGCTAGGCATTGTACCAGATATCGAGGAAACAAAAACAAAAACAAAAATCAATGTAAGTTGTTTGGAGGAAAAGGATGAAAAAGATGCATTACCTGGGCAGCCAATGTGGTGATGATGCTTTCTGAGCTTAATTAGCATAAGAGACATGCAGTCCATCCCTAGGCCTACTGAGGACCTGTCAGAGGTGGCAATCCACTGGCACAGCTTTAAGGAACCTGTCACCTCCATATCATGATGAGGCATCTTGGTAGGACTCCACTGGAAACAATGATGAATAATAATATCTCCCATTTAGAAATTACTATGCATTTTACCAAGAGCTTTCATCACAGCATCTTTGTGAAATGGGTAGAGACCATCTTAAAATCCAAGCTGTTTCACCTAATCAGTCAAAGCAACTGCCTCCAAGCCAATCTGTTTCCAAAGTGCCACATCATTAAGTAACACTGCATGCCGACCAGTACTGCTAACGCCAGCCTTGTTGTCCTGATGTAAAGCCCTCTGTTGGAGGAACAGAAGGTGACTGACTCACGGACATCCCCCCCTTTAGTTCTCACAGGAGTCTTGGAAGTACGGAGATAGCATTCTCACCTTTTTATACAAAAGGGTATAGAATCAGGCAGCTAGGTGGCCAATGGATAGAATGCTGAACTTGGAGTCAGGAAGACCTAAGTTCAAATCCTATCTCAGACACATGCTAGGTGTGTGACCCTGGGTAAGTCACTTAACCTCTGTTTGCCTCAGTTTCTTCATCTATAAAATGAGAATAATAATAGCACCTACCTCCCAGGGTGGTTGTGAGGATAAAAAGAGACTGATTATATTCGGAAATCACTTTGCAAACCTTAAAGCACTATATAAATGTGAGCTATTATTATAATTATTCTTTTTGAACTATGTCCAAAGGGCTATAAAACTGCACACTCTTTCACCTAGCAATACCACTATTAGGTCTGTATCCCAAAGAAATTTTTTAAATAAAGGATCCATATGTACAAAAATATTTATAGTAGCTCTCTTTGTGGTGGCTAAGAATTAGAAATTGAAGGGATGCCCATCAGTTGGGGAAGAGCTGAACAAGTTGTGGTATATAATTGTAATGGAATATTATTGAGCTACAAGAAGAGATGAGTAGGATAGTTTCAGTAAAATCTGGGAAGACTTAAATGAACTGATGCAAAGTGAAGTGAGCAGAACCAAGGGAACATTGTACATGGTAACAGCAATAATTTATGATGCTCAACTGTGAATGACTTACCTGTTCTTAGCAATACAAAGATCCCAAACAATTCTGAAGGACTTAAGATGAAAAATATTATTCACGTCTAAAGAAAGAACTTGATAGAGTCTGAAGATCAAAGCATACTTTAAAAAAAACCTTTATTTTTTTTTAAGTCTGTTTTCTTTCATAACGTGACTAATATGGATATATGTTTTGCATAGTTGCACATGTATAACCTTTATCAAATTGCTTGCCTTCTCAGAGAGGGAGGAGGGAGGTTGGGATAGAATTTGGAACTCAAAATTGTAAAAAATTAGGATTAAAATTGTTTTTATATGAAATTGGAAAAATGTGTTTAAAAATTATTCCTTTTGGGGTTAATTCTAATCATTAGGAAGTTTTTCCTTATGTCAGCCCATGAGGATACAACATCATTCACAAGAGATCAGTCAGATTCCACTTGAAGACCTTCAATGTGAGGGAATTGACTATTTCCAAGGAAGCCCATTTCACTTTTGGGTAGCTCTAATCATTAAGAATATTTTCCTTATATTGTCTTTAAGTTTGCCACTATGCAACTTAACCCATTGGCCTGGATGATCACACAGCTTGTACCTTAGCAAATCCCAATGAATTTATATTGGGACTCAGGAAAATAAATATTTGAAGAGTTTAGGACCAGAATTCTCTCTCTCTCTCTCTTGTTCTTTCTCTCCCACTTTTCTGTCTTCTTTCATGATGGGATACATTTTTATTTTGTCAGTGCTGTGGAAAGATGATAAATCGACAATACTGGCCAGAATTGTACCTGCAGCACCCTCTCCTGTCCAAAAAGAGTTTGGTTCATAGTGAATTAAACATGGCTCAGAGGTTTTGTACTTTTTTTCAAAGCAGGCACTTATATATAGCAAAAATCGCTATACAAGGAGAAATCATCTCATTTTCGCTCACTGGATGTGGCCTTGACTTATCTTTGAACTCTGTTCTATGAACATCTCGGCATTGTTCTGAAGTCAGGCTAAAGGTGAAAACTGGAAGTGGGTCCCATGACAATCATTTTCAAAGCCTCTGAGTTGGGGGGAGACGGGGCGGGGCATTGACTATTGTGAGGGATAGGAATATTGTCTGTGATTGACATCACTTCCAGGTGCCCCCTTGTTGGGCCCCTTGATGGCAAATAAAACACACTTATCCCAGGCCTTTCACCACACTCACATGGACCACTCTCTTTTCATGTCTTTTATTGCTTTAACAATGTTTGTCCAGCAATGCCTGTAACTTTTTTTCATTTTTGAACCCTTCAGTGCCACAAGATTTATAGGCAAGTGGCTGATTTTTGGATATGTATGCTGTTATTGTTCTTATTCAATCATTTCAGTTGTGTCTGACTCTTTATCACCCTATTTGGGGTTTTCTTGGTAAAGATACTGGAGTGGTCTGGCATTTCTGTCTCTAGGTCACTTTACAGATGAGGAAACTGAGGCAAGCAGGGTTAGGTGACTTGCCCAGGGTCACACAGGTAGTAAATATCTGAGGTAGGATTTGAATTCAGTTCTTCCTGACTCCATGCCTGCTGCTTTATTTACTATGCCACCTAGGTGCCCTTTATATATCGCTTTAATATGAACTACTGAGATAACTTCATGTCTCTTGTCTCCTCATGTCAAGGGGCTCACCTGGACAGAAACTAAAGGAAAAATGCTAACCTAATCAGCTTTCCGCATCCTCAGCTTCTGATTCGGCCTTCTCCACTCCACCCTGTATTCTCTAATGCTGTTGGTTGTCCTTCGTGCTCAAAGCGAGGGAGGGCTGTGAAAGGTCACCAGCCTCACTCTCTCCTCGGGAGCCATCTGGGTACAGTGGCAAGATATAGATCCGGATGACTGGAGATGGTACCAGATGCATTGGGAAACCTTGGCCTTTTTAAGCTAAGGTCTTTCCTAGGTCTCAGTTTGACTGAGACAATGCCCAATCGGTGATTAAGGCTAGGTAAGAAATGTGGCAAAGAATGGCCTCTTTTACCTAGTCAAAAAAATAAATCAGTCTGGGAAGGAGAGACCCCCAGGGTTTCTGGCCAAAACAGAAACAATTGCTATTTACACTCACTCACTCTGAGCCATCAGGGCCCAAACACTGACCTAGTGAGGCTTGGGCTGGGACCTATTGTTGGTCAGTCTCTGAAAGCCAGAGTGATTTGGGTTTAAGGATCCTCCATTAGCCTGTGTAGAAAGCAGTGCCTAGAATACTATCACAGCCCAGAAGGGTATGCCAAGACTCACAGATACAACGGTGCTTTCTCATTGTTCTCAGGACCTACAGGGTCTGTCTAAAAACAGTATTCTTTTTTTTTTAATTTACTGTAATTTAATCTTTACACTAATTCAGTGTCTTATTATTCACATTACATAACTTTTTACTTGTCTTGACCCACAAGCAGAAAGTTATTGACAAGGCTGTACACACAGATACACACTTGTGTCTAAAAACAGAATTCTTAAACAAACTGGAAATTTCAGTTAAAATGGGAAGTTGGCAGCCCATGAACACATAAAAATATACCCCAAACACAAACTGGTTTTTTTTGATGCATTAAAATTTTTTTTTTATTACATTTTGAGTTCCAAGTTGCTCCTCCCTTCCCCAGATACAAACAGTTGACTAGAATTCAACCTTTCACTTTGCCAAGTTTAGGCAAATTAGCTCCCTGAGCAGGGCCTTTTTTGCCCCTAGGCAAAGTGGAAAACCTGAGTGTGCAAGTGATTTTAAGGAAGTTGTTTTCACCTCCATTCCCCAGCCTCTTCAAATTCTCACCCAGCTCTGACTGTTCGCTGAAATGAGAGCTTTCGAGTTTTCTTTCTTTAGCTGAAGGTATTGATCCCTATAAATATAAAAATAGCTCAAAGTTGGAGAGCAGCTTGGGTGCTCCTCTCACAGCCCTATAAGGTAAGAAGTGTATTGTTATTTACATTTTATACATGAGGAAAGGAAACTTACATTGGTTAAGTGAGTTTTCTCCTATCCCCAGAACTCATACACAGGTGATCTGGGTTAATGCCTATGTCCAGATTTATTTTCTTTTTGTCACCCTGGAGAAATTTATTACAGAAGCAGCTAGGCAGTAGATAAAGTGTGAGACCCAGAATCAGAAAGACCTGAGTTACAATCAAGTCTCAGACACTTATTGGCTGTGTGACCTTCTGCCTCAGTTTCCTCAACTGTAAGATGGAGGTAATAATAGCACCCACCTCCCAGGATTGTTGTGAGGGTAAAACAAACTAACATTTGTAAAGTACTTTGCAAACCTTAAAAGGCTATACTAATACTAGCTATTATTATTAATGCAGGCTAGTTGTGCTAGACCCCTTTCCCAAGAGGCAAGAACAGAGTGGAGGGGGGGATATATAGGTAGAAAAAGGTAGAATGATATAAATCCATAAGCCCCTGATATCCAAAGAATTCTACAAAGCCCTGTGTTTATCCTAACCTAAACTAGTCATTATTGCTGTATTGAAAGCAAAGGAATCCACTTAGTTAAGATTGATACTTTTGTGAAAGGAAGGCAGTGTGGTGCAGTAGGAAAGACTGCTTACATCAGAGGACCTAGATTTGAATGCTCTGACACCACCTCTGTGACCTACAGCAAGTCACTTTTCACCAATCTGTTCTTCACCTGTGAAATAAGGAGGTTGGATTAGATGCCCCCGAAAGTCTCTGCCAGCTTTAAATCAATATGCTTATCAATTGATCAATCAATGAACTTTGATTAAGCATAGACTGCATACCAGGAACTGTACCAGGTGCTAGGGATACAAGGGCTGCTGCTGTTTGTCCTTCGTTCTTGAAAAGGACCATGATATCAGGAAAGTGATACCATGACATACAAGTGAATTAAATTTAAGTGAGAGAGGGCTGTGCAAAGTCACCAGCCTCACTTTCACCTCCGGAGCCATCTGGGTCTGATGGGGATGGGATTCACCCTGGACCCCTAAAAGGAAAAGACCATGTCTTTGGGCCCTGGACCCCAAAGCCCCTGAACCCAGATCTCTGGTGTTCCTCTAACGCACCCAGCCTATCCCAATCAATAATTTTTTTAACTGCCCTTTCACTGGGGCTCTCTGGCCACTTAATTCCTTCCCTTATCTACACCTGGCCCCACCCAAGGTTACTTGCCACTCCTTAATTCCATCCAGATCTTCCTACAGTTTTTTTCTGTATAAAAATACCAGTACCACCCTCATCAAATTTGCAGATTCTTAGAATCCACCGGCTTCTATTGGTGACACAATAAACCTTGTCTCTGACTGAAAGAAGGGTTGAGTGGTTGAATTCTTTCAAGGCAGACTCCTGCCCTGTACCCTTGAATTTCAGGGTTCCTAGCACCCCTAGACTGCATCATATCCACAATATCTTTTGGTTTCTATGTTATCAATAAACCCCAGTTACTACAGATCAGATGAATGAGGGTTCTGATTCTGTGAATATGTGTTAAAATGATAGTATCTGGCAGCAAGAAGCAGTTCGGGGTCCCTAACAAGCATTTATTAAGCATCCACAATGTGCCAGGCACTGTGCTAAGCACTTTACAAATATACCTTATTTGATCCTCACAATAGCCCTGTGAGAAAGGTGCTACACCCATTTTACAATTGAGGGAACTGAGGCAGAGTTAAGTGACTTGCACAGAGTCACATAACTAGTAAGTGTCTGAGGCTGGATTTGAACTCATGTTTTCCTGACTCCAAGCCCAACATTCTGTCCACTGTACCACCTAGCTGTCTAAAACAAACAAACAAACAAAAAACACTGCAATGTCCCAAATGTGATCCAGCCCACCCTCTTTTTCCTAAATTTTGTTCTCATTAACAACTACACTAAACAAGGCAAACAGAAATGAAACTCTAAGCTAAACCTTTTCTGCTCTTTTCAGTGCTGGGCTTAGGTCACTGGTTCATCTGTAGCCAAGAAATAAAGACTGACAGACCAACTCAATGGACTGACCATTCAAGTCTCCACTTCCTTTTACAAAATATATCTCATCTCCATTGGGAATATTTGTCAGTGGTATCCCCTCCCATCTATGAAACAGGATTTCCCCTCTGTGTCCCTTTAAAAACCTTCCCTTTGCCTCCTCCCCCATTCTTCCATAGGCTCTCTTCTTCCCAAGAGACTATAGGAGTTATTTGCCCTTGTTAGCCCTTGACTTGATTAGAGTACACCACATATTCCCTTCTATTTTTTTCCTTCCCTCCTCCCTTTATGCATGATCTTACTCTGTAATTTAGTACCATAAAAACACATTGATTCACCTATAGACAGTGTTGTGAGGTTTAGTCCATAAAGTTTCAGGTCTGTTACTCCATCATCATTTCTACTTAAATTCTGCTCTAATACATGTTTCCACATACACATTTAGAAATAAATCAATTAATGGTCTCTCTGTAGCCATTTTGTTGTTATTGTTGTTGTCCTTGGTTGTTGTACTTGTTTACCCTTCTTATATTTCTGTTGTCTGGGGTGTTTGGGAAACAAATAGTTTCTTCAGGTCTGGTTTTCTTTTTAAGAATGTTTGGAATATCTTTTAAATTGAATATTCATCTTTTTTTTATTTATGATTAGGCTCAGATTTTCAGAGTGTGCCATCTTAGGCTTCATTTTTAACTACTTTGTTCTTCAGAACACATTATTCCATTCCCTCCTGTGGTTTCTGGTGGGTTCAGAATAGTCTTGTGTTATTCAAATTTCCTTTCCTTTATATTTGAAGGTCTTTCTCCTGGTCACTTGCAGAATCTTTTTTTTTTTTTTTTTTGGTCATTGGAATTGTTCAAATTTACCTTTGTGTGACTTGGAGTTTGCAGTACAGGGTTTTTTTGTTTTTTTTCAGGAGGAGATTTCTGAATTCTTGCCATTGGCCCTTTGTTTTCTGTGTATGGAAGTTCTAGGCAAATTTCTTCTATTTTTTCCTTGCATTACAGTGTTCAGGTTTTTTGACTTGTATGTTCTTCTGGGAGACCTATAATCTACAAATTGTCTTTAAACACCTAGTCTTTAAGATCAATATATTTTGCTTGTATGGAGATCATGCTTTCTTTGAATGTTATTGCTTTTTGCTTCTCTTCTTCCAGAATGTCCTTCACTTCCATGTATTTGCATTCCTAACAAGTTATTTTCTCTTCTGTTTCTTCCTTTTTTTTTTTTTTTTAGGCAATTGGGGTTAAGTGACTTGCCCAAGGTCACACAGCTACTAAGTGTCAAGTGTTTGGTCTGAGGCCGGATTTGAACTCAGGTCCTCTTGACTTCAGGGCCGGTGCTCTATCCACTGAGCCACCTAGCTGCCCCCCTCTTCTGTTTCTTTAGTGAGACCTGCCATTGTGGATTTAAGTTTTCCTATTCTGACAATTATTTCTGCTGTGTGGTCCATAAACTCTGCTTTTATTATGCTTGTTTCTTTTATAAACCATTCAGAAATCCCGCTGTGTAGTTCCACGCTCTCTTAGGAAACCACAGGTTTCTCTGCCTCATCAGGTTGTTGATTCATTTTCCTTTGTCTTACAACATGTATTCATAGATGCCTAATTTTTTTTACATTATTTGGAGGCCATATTTCCTTCTGCCATTAAGCTGTCCAGCCCCCATTTCATCTGTCCCTCCATTCTCTGGCTGAGCTCTGTTGCGGCACAGAGTGTTACCATGCTGTTATTACAGCCTGAGCACATTTCTTCTGTTTGGATCTTCCTGGTACTGGGGGGGGTGGGATGGGGAAGGATGAGGTATGCAGTTAATTCTGTTGCAAATATATGGGTTGGCTTGTGTAGCCCTGCTGCTGGGAATGTGGTGGGTCATGGGGGAGCTGGTGCTAAGTGAGCACATGAGGGGTTAGTGACTAACATTCTTTGTTGTTAGTTCATTTATTTTTTATTTTGCTTAGAATTTGGAAGACTATTTTTAGAGTATGTTGTCACCAGGGAGGGGAAATCTTTTCAAAGTATCATTTGGACTAGAGAGCTTCTGAGGTCCTTTCCAACACAGACTGAGTGATGATCCTTCAAATATTTGAAGACAACTGTCATGGAGCTCCTGAATCTCCTCTTCTCAAGGCCAAACATCCTTTATTCCTTCACTGGATTCTCATGTGGCACGGACTCAAGGCCTTTACCATCCCAGCTGTCCTCTTCTGGACCTTCTCCAGCTTATCAATGTCCTTGCTAAAAATGTGATGGCCAGAACTGAACACAGTATTCCAGGCAGAGTCTGACCAGGGCAGGCGCACTGGGTCTCCCTCTCTCCTCCTTCCTCCTGGAAGCCATGTTGGCACAATGGAAAGAGTGCTGTATTTGACGTCAGGACCTGGGTCCACATACCCTTTCGGACATTTATTACCTTATGATCTTGAGTAAGTCATAATCTCTTTGGCTTCAGTTTGCTCGTCTATAAAATGAGAGAGTTGGACTGCGCGGCCTGTGAAGTACTTTCCAGCTCTAAATTTATGACTATTAAAGCAGCCAAAGACCGCATTAGCTTTTTTAAGGCTGCCAAGTCTAACTGTTGATTTATAGCCATTCTCTCTTCACAGTGTTCCTTGATCTTTTTGCCCATCTGCTTTTCCACACAAATTTTCCTATGATTTTGTCTTTATTTATGAAATAACCATTTTATTTTAATGGTTTCACATTAGATCTATTAATTATAAAAATTTGGGAAGTACATTGCTCAACCTAACCATGAATAATAAATATCTATTTGTACAGTTCTTCATTTATTTCTTTAATTTTTAAAAATTCTGAACCTAGATACTGAGTAAGCTAAACATTTCCAAGTACAAAGCAGAACAGAAAAATAAAATTTACATTAATTCATGAATTTGTTTCATATACAGCTTGCTCCCTCCTGGTCAACATCTTCATTAAATTTTGTCAATATCATTTTGAAATTGTTTTTATACAAGTCTCTCACATGTCTTGTTAGGTTAATGCCAAAATATCTGACAGTTTTTGTTGCTGATGCAAACAATATTTCTATTTTTATCAGTCTAGAATAGAGGTATCACTATTGAGAATACAGGGGCTGGAGTTCTCTTCAATTCCTATTTCTGTACCCAATCACGTTGTCCATTTTCAGGTTCATTCATGGGAAAGTCTGATCTCTACTTAGGGGAAATAGTACCTCATTCCATGCCTCACTAATAATACCCTATCCCATCATTCTTAGGGACAATACCCTGTCCCCCCAAATGAGGTAGAAAACAGGTGATGTTTTTCCTACTCACAAAAAAGAAGCACTAAGCATTAAGGAATCATAATATTCATTAACAGAATGATTAGAACTAAATTCAGTAACAACTTATAGCTGCTTGTAAAAACTGCTAGGAGCCCAGGGGTCAAACCTCACTGGGACTTAAACAGTTTTCTTAACACCTCTAGTTAGCCACTTTATATTGTACCTCCTTTTGGTGCCGTCTGATCAGGAAGCCAAGCTTGATTTTCCTTCTAGTGGCCTCTCTCTCTAAAGCTGTCTCTTCAATTGCCACTCGGCCAATCCTGCTGCTGCTGCTGAAACTGCAGAGGTCCAGAACTTTCAAAATTCACGAGGCCACCTACTTAATAAAAGGAAAAGCAAAAAGAGGTAAAAGGAGGTGGGGGCACCACGTACAAGAACACCTAGCTAAATCCACACTCCACTAGGAGAATCTTCATTATCATGGGAAGAGAGAAGGATCCTCCATCTTCATTCCTCATGGAATCCCATCTTATCACCTGGAGAGCTACAACCAAGAGGGCCCTGCTGGAATCTCTCTCTTGTTTTAAAAGGTTCCCTGAGTTATCACATCTTCCAACTTGAGTAGCTGAGTCCCTGAGCTGAATCTTGAGCTTGGAACTCCTGGGAAAGTTCTAAGGATAACCCTAAGGGGTTGAGGTTTCTGGTACTCTCACTCTTGATCACCCACCAGTGTGGTCTTCTTTTTTCGATAAATCAGTTGACATCAGTTAGCTTTTATAGGGTGGTACAGTGGATAGAGTACCCTGCCTGGATTCCAGAAGATTCATCTTCCTGAGTTCAAATCTATCCTCAGAGACTTACTAGCTGTCTGACCCTAGGCAAGTCACTTAACCTTGTTTACCTCAGTTCCTCATCTGTAAAGCGAGCTGGAGAAGGAAATGGCAAACCACTCCAGTGTCTTTGCCAAGAAACCCCAAATGGGGTCACAAAGAGTTGGTCATGACTGAAAAATAACAAATGTACTAATTATAACAGCCACAGTTGTTACAAACAATCCTCCCAAACTAGGAGGGTACTTTACTTTTGCATGCACTTAAGTTTCTGGGGAGAGTGGGCTCAAATATGAAATAGAATAGCAGCGAAGAACATGTGTAGAACACATGTGGCAAAGGGGTACTACCCAACACAGCCCTGAGAGTCCTTTCCCCTCTTGTGAAGTCCCCATGAACTTCTCTAAGAATCAGTGATTTTCCCGTGCCAAGGTGCGCATGTGCAAGGGTATGACTACCCTCTCCTCCAGGCTGGTTGCACCCCCCCCCCCCAAATTTAAGAAAGGTTTAAACATGGGGGTCATTTTGGTTAACTCTGAACAAGTGGCTGACTTTGCACAATCTCCCCTTTGGTGCTAACCACACTCCTGGTGCAGCACCATCACAGCAGAAATTTGAATGGCTGAGTGCATGTTTTGTGAGTGTGCGCTAGGAGGTGGCGCTGGTGTGGGCTAAAGCCCAAAGAACACCCTCCCTCAACCCACATCTGTCTGTCAAATTTGAGGGGAGCGACTTACATACTTTTTTATTACATAGGAAATAAAATCCCTGCGGTGGCATTCTAAAAAAGTCCACTTGTGTGTGCATAGCCCCGTGGCTTAAAACATTCCCAGAAGGCCATTCCCCTCCTGAATACTAACATTTCATTTCAGGGACAGGATATAATTACAATCTCATTTGCCATCCCATTTTCTGACCTTGTGTCCCATTTTGTTCATGAGGGAGTGCCGGTGGCCTGACAATATGCTACAAGCTCGAAGGGGTGTAGAATTGTGAAAGGTTAGTAATCCTTTCCCAATTAAAAGTGAACGAGTGGGAAGACTCATTTTTCTAATCTATGGCAATACAATTTGGTATTGTGTTTAAGTTTGCCTTGTTGATTGCAAACAAAGAATCATCACAAGTCCTGGATGTCTGACCCCACACCCACTAGGGGTATCCTTTCCCCTAAGGACAAAGGGGCACGTGAACATATCCAGCAGTTGGTCCATTTAAAGCACATCTGGCATGCTGGATCAGACACACCTAAGTGTTGGGCTCTCTTGTTCCCCCAACCCCAAGAGCACAAAGCGCACACACACACACACACACACACAAATGCATGGTTGATAGTAGGTGAGGGATTAGGTCCTAACTCTCAGGGTCAAATAAACAAGTAGCCAGGATTGGTGTTGGGGTCCTTTCTCAGCTTAACTGGGCCCAGGGGCTGGTTGGGAGTTGCTTCCTTTGCTGGGTTGAAGTCAGGTCCATTCCAGAAGGGCTGGAGACTAGATGTGTTCCTGAAGTTACAGATCCATACCTAGTCTCCTGGCTCAAATGGATGTACTGTTTCTTCCAAAGGCAGAGTTTGTCTCAAACCGGCCTCTTTCCAGACCTGTGAAAGAGAACTAGGCAGAGAATCACATAGCTTACCAGGCTTTTATCCCTTGCTTCTAGGCTCAGTCTCCAAGGGTCCAGACCCCAAGTAGAAGGAGGCGGCCTACAAAACAGAATTTCAACAGGTGACAATCCACAATCCTGCCTACTGTGATCTCTAAGGTGGAACAACACAAGGGGAAGTACCTGAGGTCATTTTAACTGTATTTTCTGGCACAGCTTTCCTAAAAGGGGCTTAACTTCCCTATTTAGCTGCTCAGTCCCTGTGATGATTGTGGATGATATGGGTTGTGTAGGCCCAGGGCTATCCTAAAACTCTTGGAGAGTTGCTTAGTTATTTCTGCAGTAAAATGTGGCCCATGGTCACAGTCAATAGAGCATGGCAGGCCAAAGCTTAGTGTTACGTCCTTTGGCAGTGTCCATGATCTTCAAGTGTCTGTGGATGGATCAGAAAAGCTTTGTGGAGGTATTTCCTTGACCATCTCCAGGTTCCAGGTCACTTGTGGAAATTTTCTAGGTAATGCTGCCAAAGCATGCTAGTGATAAGACTTAGTATAATTTAGTAAAACCTGACAAAATATAACCAAATTGGGCTTCCAGTAATTAGTTCAGACCTTATGGTGCTAAACTTATAAACAACAGACCTATAGGAAGAATATTAAATAGGCTACTCAATAAGTTACCTTATACTTGCATCCCATTATAGTAATTTAGAAGTGCTGGAACATTGCAACAAGATTTATTACATAAAAATTACAGTTTTACTTGCTATAATTAGATTATATATGTGTATATACACACACACACACACACACATATATATATATATAAGTATTTTTATATATACATACATAATTAGATTAGATATAAATAGATTAGGAAGGAATTGGTTATAACAGTATCAATATTGGTCCCCTAGGCCTGAGCCAAAGGGCACAGAGTGACTTAACATAGGTATAACAGGATAATACATCCTCAGTTCTATCTGATTTCAGGTAAGAGTCATAGTTAACTTTTTGGAATAGTCGATCAATATAGCAATATAGCAAAATAGTCAATCAAATAGCAAAGGTCCACATTATTTACAGGGTATCATAGCCAGGCTCAAGATTAACAAAGTGGGAAACATTCCTGTTCAAAATAACACGATGGGGAAACTGAGTCAAAAGGATCCTACCTTCTCCTACACAAGATCATTCCCTCAACTTTCCCAGGCATAGACATTCACCTGTTTCAGTTCTTGAATCACACTCCCTGTGAGCAGCTCATGTCATTTCCCTCAAATGGTGGGTTGCCGACTTAATGATAATTCAAATACTTATGTATGAATTAAAAACTCAGAATAATATTAAATTACAGTCCTAAGGGATTTTACTTCAAATAGCAAGTTCTACTAATCATAACTTAGGGCTAGATACAATTATTATTTCTCTCATGTTGTTGCAATAACAGTTAACAATAAAAAAGTTTAGTAGGCCTTTCAAAAAAATTAATATAAAACCTTTTTCTTCTTTTCAAATTTAAACCCATTCTGGTGTAAAATCAATCCTTAGAAATTAAGAAAACAATTACATTCTGGAATTCCACATAGATATTAAATACATGGTAGTTCACTCAAAACCCAGAAAAACATCTACTACTTCTGGGTATAATTTTCATAACCGCAAATCATCACACAAGCCACTTTTATACTACAAGCAAACTTGCAAATCTCCCTCTTTGGCAATGAGTGTTTATGATGGAAGAGGGGATCCCACTTTCTCTGTAAACCAGTTCATTATTTTGGAATGTAACATTGGGTAAGTTCTTTCACAGAGCCAATAAAATTTTATAACCTTATCCAAGCAAATGGTCCCAAGGAACTTTGCAAGTTTACAAATAAGGAGATTTTATAAGGTCTCTCTCTTCGCCCCCCCCACAGTAAATATTATTTTTCCCTTTTAAAATATACTCCATTAAATACTCAATAGATTTTAACATTATGATAATAACCTCTAATAACTTAACTAATATTCCCAACACTGAGTTAAATTTTCCAATGATACAATCGCATCATCTTAACATTTCTTATACATGGTTTCCCAAAATTCACAATACAAGAAAATTTAGAAACACAATAATAACATACACAATATCATGTATTTAAAACATGAAATAAAACTTATTGCTAGTCAAAAGACGTCAATTCAGTTGAATGCATTTCCAAATTATCTTACGTAGAAAATTATTGTATTCATTTTATCACTCTTTGCATTCTATAATGATTGCATTCAATACCAATATAGAATACTAAATACAGACACATGAATATTCACATAATACTTTATACATATATGGTTGCGCATGCGTCTGTGTGTATGTATATATATACACATATGTGTGTATGTGTAAACATACATATAAAGTATGTCTGCACAAATGAACTGTGAACAAGTCACTTAACTTTTTTTATTAGAATTATGTCTCAGCTTCCTCATAAGTAAAATGAGTTAGGTAAGGAATCACGGGAGAAGTAAGGAGATGAGGGTAACGATCATGATATTTAAAAAATAAAGAAAAAAAGGTTGTGAGTATCAATTTAACATTTAAAAATACACAGAAAACAGCAGAAGTAAGACTGGAAAGGAATGCAGACAAACAGGGAAGTGTTGGAAATACTATATTAAATCTAATTTATATTTTTAAAAAGCTGTACATAATAGAAATTCATGGTGTCATATATTAGATTCTTTTTGTTCATTGTATAAAGAACTGTTCATGTTTGCTGATACTTGTTAGGTTCATATTAAATATAATTTTTAAATTAATTTAATTTTTTTAGAAAGGAAAGCTAAAAGTGCTTCCATGAAAAGTTATTTGGGTATACCTGGGAATGCCTGGAAGAAGACTGGGAACAAAGAGTAGTGGTTTTAACAGACCTTTCCTTAAATGGCTGCTGAGAAGGAGTTTCAATAGCCTATCTCTTATTTCAATAAATCAATAAACATTTATCAAATGCCTACTATGGACCAGGTACTGTGCTCAGTGCTGGGGATACAAAAAGAGGCAAAATATAGTCATTGCCTTCAAGGAGCTCACAATTTAATGGGAGAGAAAACATGCAGACAAATATGTGCAAAGCAAGCTCTACACAGGACAAATAGGAAATAATTAGCAAAGGGAAGATGCTAGAATTGAGAGGGGTCAGGGACGGCTTCCTGTAGAAGGGGAGGATTTAAGTTGGGACTTAAAAGAAGCCAGGGAGGTCAGTAGTCAGAGCAGAGGAGGGACAGCATTCTAGATATGGGGGCCAGCCAGGAGGCCAGTGTCACTGGATCAATGAGTAGGAAGAAGAGGTGGAAAAAGTGTCAGGGAGTAAGGTGTAGGAAGATTGTAAAGGTAGGAGGGGGCTAGCTTATAAAGAGCTTTGAATGAGAAACGGAAGATTTTGTATTTGCTCTTGGAGGCAACAGTAAGCCACTGAGTTTATTGAGTCGAGGGGAGAGGGGGACGTGATGCGATTGGACTTGTGCTTTAGGAAAATCACGTTAGTGGCTAATAGAGAATGGATTGGAGTGGGGAGAGATTTCAGGCAGGCAGATCCACCACCAGGCTACTGCAGTAGTTCAGGTGTGAGGGGATGAGGAGCTGTACCAGGGTTCTGGCAGTGTCAGAGGAGAGAAAGGGGTATATTCAAGAGATGCTGCAAAGGTCTTAGTAATAGTTTGGATATGGGGTTCTGTTTCTGCTAGTAACTGTGTTCAAATCTTTTTTAAAGAAAGAAATCACAAGCTTAGTTTTGTTTTTTAATAAAAGCCCAACCACATCACTGTTTGAATTTTATTTTTAGTTCCTTTGATATTTCTCTTCTTTGGAGAATGATTCTCTCTGTTAACCTAGGCTTTGTTCTATACAAACCATAAAATTCACTTCCAGAAAGCCTCCCTTGATCTATTCAGTATCATGTCAGAGCTTATGCATACTGTTTGCATTATATAAATATGCACTAATTTGTATATAACTTTTTAAAATTGTGTATATGCATTGCCTCTCCATCTAGACCATAAACTAATTTAAAGCAAGTACAATATCTTTTCTTTCTTTTTTTTCTGCTTTCTTCTTGCCCCTATCAATGCTCTGTATAGTTGATGAGTTCAGGGTGCACCCCAAGAATGTTGGGCTACCACCAGAAATGATTAAGAATAGACAGGTGGGTTTTATTCTCCTGAAGAATTCACTCAGACAGTCTCCAAGTTAAAGAAAGGCATTTATTGGGGTGACGCACCCAAATGGGCCTGCTCCCATAGTAGGCAAAGCCCCAAGGGGCTCTACTCCATGCAGGAGGCACAGCAGGTCCTGCTCCGCTAAAGGAGGCAGAGCTACTTGCCTGGACAGGTATCTGGTCTAAATAGTCTGACAGGATCAAGGGAAGGGGAACAAAATAAGGGGAGGAGGGACAAGCATGGCTTTGGAATGCCTGGGATATCAGGTGGTCTGAGGGTGTAGAGATGAGCAAAGAGAACAGGAAAAGGAAGGGGACAAGTAGTCTTTGTGAAAGCACACAAGTAGGTCCATAGTGGGGGGCTTTAATGCATAGTCTTCTTTGATCACTTTTCTAGCTAGTCACATCCTGCATCTTATCTAGTATCTCCTATCTCACATCCTGCATCTCACAATCTCATCATAGTGGCACCAAGAAAGGAGAAAGAGGAGAAACAGGTGTTCTTCTTTGAACTTTGAAGACTTTCTGCTCTCCTCTCCGACTGATGTCATGTTAACAAAAATCAGGAACAGTCAATATTGGAAGGTCTGCGGAAAGATAGGCACCCTGACAAACTATTGTTAGATCTGTGAAGTGGTAACTGTTATGGATATAAATTTAGAATTATGCAAGAAAAGTGAGAACTGGCCATACCCTCTGACCCATTAATCCCATTGCTGAGATATCCCAAGATCAAAAACAGAAAAAATGTCCTATACACACACATACATAGACACACATATTCATGTTATACATACATTTAAACATCCACATACACAGACATATATACTTATACATGTATGTGTATGTATATACACATATTAGTCATAACAGACCTTATATAAAGGCAAAGTATACAAAGC